ATATCTATACTTTCTCAACTTTCTCATCATTACTCACACCACACCAGGGAGGAGAATTTTCTGCCATTAGGGAAGTTCTAATGGGTCCTTTAAAATTATGAATCAGTTGCACATGACAAATGTGAAGGAAATATTTCCACTTGTGGGAGAATCCAAAACCAGTAGCAATAAATATAAATTAATATAATTAAATCAACAGGGAAATTTAAAAAAAATCCCTTCACTCAGGGAGAGGTGAGGATGTGAAACTCACTACCACAGGAAATCGTTGAGGTAGGCCCGGATCACTTTTAGATCTATTAAACCCTAATTCCAATAGATGTTTTGTTTTATAAAAGGACAGTTGCAGCCAAAATGACTGCAGCTGTAAATTGAGCAGCTGTCTAGAGAAAGAGATTCTGGAATGACATACCTGTTGAGCGATGGACATAATCGAGGAAAAATACACCCCAAATTGCACTGTAATCCCGACTTTGATCCTAACCGTTAATAAAAAAATTAGTCTCGGTGACAGACATCTGTCAAAGGCTAGTATATCACTCCTGTATACATTGTTTCAGGTATGGTCTCACGTGGGCCATATATTATTGTAAATTCGTAGAGTCATAGAGTAAAAGCATGGAAGCAGACCCTTTGGTCCAACCAGTCCACACTGACCAGATTTCTTATGGGGGCAGCACGGTGGCACAGTGGTTAGCACTGCTGCCTCACAGCGCCAGGGACCCGGGTTTGATTCCAGCCTTGGGCGACTGTCTGTGTGGAGTTTGCACATTCTCCCTGTGTCTGCGTGGGTTTCCTCCAGGTGCTCTGGTTTCCTCCCACAGTCCAAAAGATGTGCAGGTTAGGTGGATTGGCCATGCTAAATTGCCCATAGTGTTCAGGGAGGCAGAGGGTGTATATTAGGTGAGTCATAGGGGGATGGGTCTGAGTGGGATGCTCTGAGGTTTGGTGTGGTCTTGTTGGGCCAAAGGGCCTGTTTCCACACTGTAGGGATTCTATTCTAATATAGTTCCATTTACCAGCATTTGGCCCATATCCCTCCAAACCCTTCTTATTCATTGAGTTTTTTTATCTGAGTGCATACAGAACTTGGAACAAGTTAATGGCACAAATAGAACTAAAGGATACTGCAATTGGCATGGGGGATTTTAATCTGCATATTGACTGGATAAACAAGATTGTCAAGGGTAACATGGAAGACTACATAGTAGAGTGCATCAAAAATTGTTCCTTACACCAGAACATTTCAGAACATACCAGGAACAGGCTATTTTAGATCGAGTAACATGTAACAAGATAGGTTTAATGAAGGCTCTCGAAGTTAAGCAGCCTTTGTGCGACATTGATCACAATATGAGGAATTGCAAGTATAGTTTGGAGAGCCACTTAGGTCTTAAATAAGTGGCCTCAACTTTAATAAGGGCAATTTCAGAGATAGAAAGAAAGAGCTATCTAGAGCAAGCTGGGAAGATAGACTAAAGTGAAAGTTAATAGAAGAGCAGTGGCAGACACTCAGGAAGATATTTTATAATGCTCAGCCAAAATTTATTCCAATCAAAGAGAAGGACTCTATGAGAAAGCAAACCACTTGTGGTTAATAATGGCGGGCAAAGAGACAATCTAATCAAAAACTAAGTCATTCAAAGTGGTGACAACTATGATAGGTCAAAAGATTAGGTATATTTAGGAACCAAAAGCAGATGACTAAATTACTAACAAAAAGGTAGAAATCACACAGTACACCAGAAGAGGCCTCACCAATGTCCTGTACAACCTCAATATTACGTCCATTTCCCATACTTAATGGTCTGAGCAAAGAAGGCAAGCGTGCTAAATGCCTTCTTAACCATTCTGTCTACCTGTGATGCAACTTTCAAAGAATTATGTACCTGAAACCCTAGGTCTCTCTATTCTACAACATTACCCAAAGCCTTACTTTTAACTGTATAAGTCCCGCCCTTGTTTGTTTTACTGAAGTGCAATACCTTTCATTTATCCAAATTAAACTCCATCTGCCACTTTTCAGCCCATTGATCCAATTGATCAAGATCTCTTTGTAATCTTAGAAAACTTTTTTCACTATTCGCTATACCACCATTCTTGGTGTCATCTGCAAACTTACTAACTATGCCTCCTATATTCTCATCCAAATCATTTATATAAATGACTAACAAAAGCGGACCAATACTGATCCCTGGGGAACAGCACTGGTCGTAGGTCTCCAGTCCAACAAACAACCCTTCACCACCACTACCCCCTGTCTCCTAATATAAAGTCAATTTTGTACCAACTGGCACCTTGAATCTCATGTAATCTAACTTTACTAATTAGTCTACCATCTAGAAATTGTCAAAGGCTTTACTCAAGTCCAAGTGAGCAACTTCTACCATTCTGCCCTCGTCAACCTTTTTGGTTACTTCATTAAAAAACTCAATCAAGTTTGTGAGATGCAATTTTTCCTCCCATATTTTTCTAACACAAGCAGTTAACCACGGTCCAAAATCATCTGTAGTTCGCAGTTCCCAGTTCAGAGGTCCAAACCAAGACTAAAATAAAAATATTGAAAAATCAGCCAGCACGCTAACATTTGCTTACATCGAATTTCATCTGCCTTAGCTTTGTCCATTCATCTGCTCTATCAATATACTTTTGTAATTTAGTGCCTTCATCTTTACTGTGTAATAAGCTGTCTAACTTCATGTCATCAGAAAATTTGGATACTCGACTTTCTACATCATTATCCAAGTTGTTAATAAGTAATGTGAATAATTGAGGCCCTAACATGGATCCTTGTGCGACACCACTGGTCACATCCTGCAAATTTGAGTACCTACCCATTCTTCCTACTTTCTATTACCTGCCACTAGTTATATCAGTAATTTTCCCTCAGTTCCATGGAGTTCTATCATATTCAACGGTCTCATATGTGGAATTTTATCAAATGCCTTCTGGAAGTCCACATAAACAACAACCATAGAAATTCCCCTATCCAACACCTTAGTCGCCTCTTCAAAAAAATTCAGTAAGGTTTGTCAAGCATGACCCACCTGCCCTGAATCCATGCTGGCTCTCCTCGATTAACTGAAATTTGCAAGTTGTTCAGTTATCCCATCCTTGATTATAGGCTCCAGAAATTTCCCCGCCACAGACAGATCTGTAATTCCCGAGTTTTCCACTTTCAAAATTCTAAAAAGGCAGAGTGATGTTCAATTTTCCAATCCAGAGGGACGACTCCTGTACCTAGGGAACTCTGAAAGATTATAGTTAGAACATCTACAATGACCTCCCCTACTTCCTTTAACACCCTCTGATAGAACGGTAAAGTCCAGGGATTTGTCAATCTTTAATTCATTAATTTCCTCACTATTGACATTTTGCTTAAGATTAATTAGTCCCTGTCCCAGTCCACTATTAATTTCCTTGGTACAAGGAGCAAGTTATCCTCCTTTTCTACTGCAAATACTGAGGCAAATTAGTTATTCAACATGCCTGCCATTTCCACATAGTCATTGACAATGTCCTCATGTTCAGTCTTTAGTGGGCCAGCATTGTTGTTATTGCTCCTGAACACCCGCTCTCTGTTTAGGTAATTATAAATCTTTTTCTTACTGATTCTGATGACCCTGGCAAGTTTCCTCGCATAATCCCTTTTAGTTATATGCTGCTTTGTGATCATTTACTGGTCTATTTATATAATGTGAGGCTCTTCACTTTGGAAGCAAAGACAAAGCGGCAGATAAATTAGGAGAGGGACCTGGGTGTCCTTGTGCACCAGTCGCTGAAGGTAAGCGTGCAGGTGCAGAGGTGGTAAAGAAGGCAAATGGTATGTTGGCCTTCATTGCAAGAGGTTTTGAGTACAGGAGCAGGGATGTGTCGTTGCAGTTATACAGGGCCATGGTGAGACCATACCTAGAATATTGTGTGCAGTTTTGGTCTCCTTTTCTGAGGAAGGATCCTCTTGCTCTTGAGGGAGTGCAGCGAAAGTTTACCAGGCTAATTCTGGGGATGGCGGGTCTGATGTAGGAGGAGAGATTGACTAGGTTAGGATTGTTTTCACTAGAGTTCAGACAAATGAAGGGGGATCTCATAGAGACTTTTAAAATTCTAACAGAACTGGACAGGGTAGTTACAGGGAGGATGTTCTCGATGGTGCGTGTGTCCAGAACCAGGGGTCACAGTATGAGGAATTGGGGTAGACCATTTAGGACGGAGATGAGGAGATATTTCTTTATCCAAAGAGTGGCGAGCCCGTGGAATTCATTACCACAGGAAGTAGTTGATGCCAAAACATTGAATGTATTCAAGAGGCGGCTAGATATAGCACTTGAGGGTGAATGGGATCAAAGGTTGTGGGGTGAAAGCAGGATCAGGCTATTGAGTTGGATGATCAGCCATGATCATGAAGAATGGCAGAGCAGGCTCGAAGGGCTGAATGGCCTCCTCCTGCTCCTATCTTGTATGTTTCTATGTTTCCATTCAGCAGCATCTGTGATTTCCTTTGAGCTTTTGTAAGCCCTTGCTTTCAGTTTAATGCTATCCCTTAACTCTTGCATTGTCCATGGCTGTTTTGTCTTCTGTGAAATGGAGCTTTTCCCTCTCAGAGGTATAAAGCGGTTCTGTGTTGTGTAAAATGTTTCTCTAAATATCCTCAACTTTTCTTCAGTGGTTTTACCCAGGAGGAGATTTTCCCAGTTTCCTATGGACAGTCTCTGAGGGCAATGTATTAGCATAGACTGAGGACTAGTTAACACACAGAAGAGTCAGGATTAATGTGTCTTTTTTAGGTCGGAAAGAAGCAAATCGTGGAGTTCCACAAGGATCAGTCCTAGGGTCTCAATTATATATTATACACTTGTGTGACTCGAAGAGGGGGCAGAGTGTAATGTACCCAAATTTGCTGATGATACAAAAATAGGCAGGAAGGCATGTTGTGGTGAGGACATAAGGAATCTACAACAATATGTTCCACGTAGATTGAATGAGTGGGCATAAACTCAGCAGATGCATTTTAACCGAGGAGGCCATGAAGAATCAAAAGGCAAATTGTTACTAAAATGGAGAGAGCGTCCAATAATGATGCAGCATAGAGTGATCTAGCTGGGTGCTCTTGTGCATAAAACGGTTAGCATACAGATGCAGAAAGTAATTATAAAAGCAAATGAAATTTTGGCCTTCGTTGCTAGGTTGAAGTTTAAACATAGCCTAGTTACAACTGTGCAGGTTGCTGTTGAGGTCACATAGGAAGTATTGTGTACAGTTTGGTCTCTGAGTTTGAGGAAGGATGTACTAGCCTTGGAGGCAGTTCAAAAGAGATATTTCTGGCTAAGATTTATTTGAAGGGCAGCATTTCCTCTAGTTTCCTTATGGTGTGGGTCTCTAAAACCTGTGCACGGCAGCAACCTCCAGAACCAGAAGTCAATGCTGCAACAGCATGCCAATACCAATTGTCGTGTGTGCAACACTGGAGAGAACATTGATGAAAGGATTTTCCTATCAAGAACAGGTAAACAGGTTGGTCGTTTAGAAATTGCCATAATCTTTTAGTCTGCCCTAGATTCGTTGGAGGTGCGAGAAAGATTGGAAAATTGCAAACATTACTGCTTTTTTAAAGAAATGTTGCAAGGTTAATCCCAGTAATTCCAAACGTCTAAAAGTGTTTAGAAACATTTTCTTTTTCCCATTCGTTCGTGGGACGTGGGTGTGTTTCTCTTGAGAAGGTCATGGTAAAGGCCTATTTGCTGTGGGCAGACCCACAACTAATGCTGTTAGGGAGGGAGTTCCAGGATATTGATCCAGTGACACTAAAGGAGTGGCAATATTTCCAAATCAGGATAGCGAATGGTTTAGTGTTCCCATGTATCTGCTGCCCTTGACTTTCTAAAGGATGATGGTTGTGGGTTTGGAAGGTGCTTCCTAAGAAGCCTTGGTGATTTTCTGCAGTGCATATGTACACACACTGATGCTTAGGTCAGGGAGACATTGAATGAATACTTGTGGATGGGTGGTCAATCAAGCAGGAAGCTTTGGTCTGGAGGGTGTAGGGAGTTCTGGTCTGTGCGATCGGTAAGCCTGCCAGAACTCTCAGGCAGCCTGGGTCACCCTCCAGGTCCCTGGTTCTGACACTGGCTTTAGATTAGTGAATGTGGAGTAACAAATCAGGAGGCAGGTGTTTCAGGGCGAAGAATCTCTGTGTTTGTCAAATACAAGGGTGTGTATCTCACAAGAAATAAAAAAAGCAAATATAATAAACAGGGCAATAATACAAAGGTGAATAAACTACAAGAGATTAAAAAATGCAAAACAGTGAAACTGACACTATCAGCTATTAACTAGGGCCAATTACTACTATAAACTAAACTGTAGTTTTAAACACAGACACTTTAATTAGATTTCCTGACCTTGAGGTAACGTACACTGTCACCAGCGCACTTTCCCCTCCCTACTAGCTAGGTTGGATACTTTGGGCCTTGTTTTGAATTACAGCTGGCCGTCCCCACTTGCCGCAGCCGGTGCTTCGCTAAAGACTTCAGACAATGTAGGCCTTCAGTCTGGGTTGAGTCCATTGATGCAGTAAGACATATTGTGGATTTATCGGGTGAGTACTTTGGTTTTCAGTTCTGAGGAAGGGTCACCAAACCCGAAACGTTAACTCTGTTTTTCCTTTACAGATGCTGCCAGGCCTGCTGAGCTTTTCCAGCAACTTCTGTTTGTGTTCCTGATTTACAGCATCTGCAGTTCTTTCAGTTTTTATTTAGGTTTTCTTACTCTTTGGTGGGTTTTGCGAGCGGGTTTTCACTTTAGGATAAGTCTGAGGCCTTGTGGTGTTGATCGAGTCAGTGGTTCTCGGAGGTCATTGGTGTTTTGGTCTGCAGGTCGTGGTCGGTCGCCAGCGGTTGGAGATGACTGTAGGGATCATTCTTGGTGCAGTAGCTCTCTAGAGTCTTTCTCCTATTGGTAGCTGCAGGGAATAGCTCTTGAAGCGGATCACTGTTCTTTCTCCTCTCCTCTCTCTTTCCTTTTTTCTCTCGTTCAGGTGAGATTGGGACCTGCAATTATACAAAATTGCAGGTCTCTTATCTTGGAGCCAAATTTGGCTTTTGCAACTGTATTACTGTTGCCCTTCTGAAGGTGAATTGGCTTCCTGATCGTTAGAGTAGGTGTAAATGTTTTTCAGTCAGAGATGAATACGTTGTTTAGAGTAAGTGTAAAGGCATTTCGATTGCATGGAATATCCAATATTTTCTGTGAGTGAATATTTATTGAAGTTGAATGCCTTGGTATCTCTGAAGCATCCAAGATGTCTAAAGTTGTTGATAACACAGTGTGGAGCTGGAGGAACACAGCAGGCCAGGCAGCATCAGAGGAGCAGGAAAGTTGATGTTCCGGGTTGGGACCCTTCTTCTTTTTCTGAAGAAGAGTCCCGACCCAGAACGTCAACTTTCCTGTTCCTCTGATGCTGCCTCGCCTGTTGTGTTCTTCCAGCTCCACTCTGTTATCTCTGACTCCAGCATCGGCAGTTCTTACTATCTCTGTCTAAAGTTGTTGCCTTAGGTCTGGTTCATTGTTCCTTTAGGGCTGAGGCGTGAATAGGATTTCTAACTGAACCATGGTTCCAGACAGCTATCTCTGTGATTATGTATTCCAGAGTATAGACCAGCTGCTTTTTTTTTTGTTTTAAAAGTTCTGTTAAAAATCCAGGGTTTTGGTCCAGTATTTCAAATGACAGAGATTTTTGCTCACTCCTACAATGGTGTCAAACTACTCTCATCAGGGCAAGTGGGGAGTATTCCATCACATTCCTGACTTGTGCCTTGAAGACGGTGGACAGTTTTCATGAGTTACTGTTACAAAGTTCTTAACCCCTGCCCGGTACTTGTACTCACTGTATTTATATGGCTAGTCCAGTTCAGTTTCTGGTCAATGGTAACCCCAGGGTGTTGATAACGAGCGATTCAGCGAAGGTAGTGCCATTGAATGTCAAGGGGTGATGTTTATGTGTTTTCTCGTTGGAGAGTTTTCCCTCGATTCCCATTTTACTCTATTTTGGCACACCCAATCAAATGTAGCCTTGATGTCAAGGGCAGTCACTCTCATCTCCCCTCTAGAGTACAGCTCTTTTGTCCATGTTTGGACTATGGCTATAATGAGATCAGGAGCTGAGTGCCCGTAATGTTCAGGGATGTGTAGATTAGATGGTTTATAGGGGGATGGGTCTGGGTGGGATGCTCAGAGGGTCAGTGTGGACTTGTTGGGCCAAAGGGCCTATTTCCACACTGTAGGGAGTTTATGATACATGATGATAATAGCAAAGTTTACGAGGTGACTCGACAGGTATATGAATAGGCAGGGAATAGGGGGATATAGACCGTGTAGAGGGAAAAGTTTTTTATTTGATTTGATTTGATTCATTATTGCCACATATACCGAGATACAATGAAAAGTATTGTATTACATGATAATGAGACAAATCATAACTTACAGAAGTACATCAGGATAATAGAAGAGAATACAGAATATAGTGTTCCAACTACAGAGAAGGTACAGAGAAAGATCAAAGCTCATATATGAGAGGTCCATTCATAAGTCTAATAACAGTGGGGAAGAAGCTGTTCTTTTAGTTAGAAAGGCATCATGTGTTGGCACAGTCTTGGTGTGTCAAAGGACCTGTTCCTCTGCTGTACTGTTCTTTGTTCAAAGGCAATTTACAACAATGGCTCCAGGGATGAGCATAGAATCATAGAACAGTTTGGAAGCAGGCCACTCAGCCCATCAAGTTACACTGACCCATCTCACCCCTTCCCTGCAACCCTGCATTTCTCATGGCTAACTCACTTAGCCTGCGCATCTCTGGGCTCTATGGGCAATTTAGCATGGCTAATCCACCTAGAGGAAAAGCACGCAGACATGGGAAGAATGTGCAAACTCCACACAGACAGTTGCCTGAAGGTGGAATTGACCCCAGGTCCCTGGCGCTGTGAGACACCAGGGCTAACCACTGAGCCACCATGCTGCCAGTAGATTGAAGAAGTTGTGACTGTTCTCCTCGGAGAGAATGAGTGTAAAAGGAGATCTGATAGAGGTTTTCAAACTCATGAGATGGCTTGGTAGAGTAGATAGAGAGAAACTGTTGCTTATCAGGACCGGATCAAGAGCCAGAGGGCACAGATTTCAAGTGATTCACAAAAGGAGCAAATATGATGTGAGAAAAAAACTTTTTTACACAGCGAATTGTTAAGGTAGGGAATGTTCTGCCTGGAAGTACGGTGAAGGCAAGTTTTATCAAGACATACAAAAGAGTATTGGATAAGTATTAGGATAGAAATAACATGCAAAGGAATGGGACATGAGATGGGAAGAAGGTAATGATGCTCATTTGAAGAGCTAGCACAGACATAATGGGCTAAATGGCCTTCTTTTGTACCGTAACAGTGCCATATTTCTGTGATTTATTCATTAGATTTTAGAAGAATGAAGAGTGATCTTTTTGACAGCTTTTGTGGGGCCTTGACAGAGTAGATATTAAGATGATGTGTTCACAAGTGGGGGACATAGTTACAGAATAAGAGGACATGCATTTAAAGCTATGGTGCAAGGGATCTTCCTCACCCAGAGGGTAGTGAACACCTGGAATTCTCTACCCCAGAGAGTTGTGAAAGCTGAAAGTATTTAAAGAGAAGGTAGGTAGATTTTTGAAAGATTGGGAAGCTGAAGGCTATGAGGATGATGATGAAAGAGGCATGTTGAGGCCAGGGGCAGATCCACCTTGAACTTATGGATTGGCAGGGCAGGCTTGAGGCGCTGAATGGCAATTATTAGCTTCGATCTCTTATGTTTTCTGTCCTCTATACATATCCTTCATGATTTTGAACATCTTAATCAAATCTCATGTCAAACATCACTTCTCCAAGGACCCCTAACATCACCAATCCATGACCGGAATTCATCATTCCTGGAACTGTTCTCAATTTTTTTCCATACTGTCTCTGATTTCTTCACATTTATCCTAAAGTATGCTGTCCAAAGTGGACACAATATTAAAGTTGAAGTTGAATCAGTGTTAGGTACCAGTATAACTTACTTGCTTTATTTCTCTATGCCCTTGTTTATAAAGCCCAGGATTAGTACGCTGTATTAACCACTCTCTTAACCTGTCCTTCCTTATTAATAATTTGTGTATACATACCTCCAAGACCCACTTGCATTTTCAAATTTCTGACCAGTAGGTGTACTTGGAACACAAATGACAATAACAGACTTCTATGGGTAAAGACTTCCATAGATCCACTGCCCACCAAATGAAAAAAAAATCCTGCTCATCTCTGTCTTAATTGCGTGACTCCTAATTCTGAGATTATTCGCTCTTGTTCTAGACTGTCCAATAAGGAGAAACAATCTTTTGACTTTCAATAAGGTCTCCTGTCATTTTTCCGATTTTAAACTTCAACAAATACAAGACCAACCTACTCAATCTCTCCTCATAAGAAAATCCACCCATATCTAGAATCAACTGAGTGAACCTCCTCTGGACTGTCTCCAATACCAGTATATCTTTCCTTACATAACGGGACCGATACCATTCACAGTATTCAGGTGTGATCTGACTAAAATGTTGTATTGTTTTAATAAGTTTTTACATATCCTTCGTTTTATACTCCATTTCCTTTGGAAATAAATGCCAACATTCCATTTGCTTTCCCTGTCACGTCCTGAACTTGGATGCTAGGTTTTTGTGATTTACGCACAAGAAATTTAAAATTCTTCTGTGCTGCAGATTTCTGCATTTTTCTCCATTTAAATAATATTCAGTCCTTTTATTCTTCCTTCCAAAGGCATAACCTCACATTTTCCCACATTACATTCCATCTGCCAAATTTTTGCTCACTCACCTAACCTGTATTTATTTCTTTGTAAAGTTCTGACGAGGGGGTCACTGGACCCAAAATGTTGACTTTGCATTCTCTTCACAGATGCTGCCAGACCTTCTGAGTTTCTCCTGCAATTCCTGTTTTTGTTTTATATACCTTTGTAGAATTTTTTGTACCATCACTGCTTGGCTTCCTACCTATTTTTGTGTCATCAGCAAACTTGGGATGGTACATTCACTTTCTTCATCTGCTTGATCATATTATACATTCCTAAATGCTCTGTTGTTACATCCTATAGAATCTACCATCTTGCCAATGACAGATGTTAAAGTAACTGATCCATAATTACCTGATTTTTGTCTCCTTCCCTTTCCGAATGAAGATGTCACATCGACAGATTTCCAATTCTCTAGGACTTGTCAGAATCTAAGGATTCCTGGAAGGTTACTTCCACTATATCTGTTGCTGCTTTAAAATCCTAGGATGCAACCCATCAGGTTTTTAGCACCATTGGTTTCTCTGCTCTTTTTTCTCTAGTGATAGACATTATGTTTATTTCCTGCTCCACTCCACACTTTAGCCTCTTAATAATTTAGTATCTTTGTAATGCTATTAATGTCCTCCACTGTGAAGTCTGAAGTAGAGTATTTACTCAACTCCTCTGCCAATTTCTCATTCCATATTATTATTTCCCAGCCTCATTCTTTAAGAGGCCTATGTTCACTTTAGTTTCTTTCTTCCTATTCATATATTTAAAGAAGCTCTTACTGTCTGCCACGATATCACTTGCAAGTTTACCTACATAGTTAATTTTCTCCCTCTTTCTTTTTGGTCACTTCCATGTCAGTGGCTTGATCTGGGGCACTGGAGCAGTGAAGGGAATGGCCACAGGAAGTTGTATGTTATAGTCAGGAACTGGGAAGGTCAGGGCTGGGAGCAACAGTGTGATGGGGGTGTGGAGGAACCATCAGGTGGCTTTGCTAAGGACATGGGAAGGGCCCAGCAGGGGCAGTCTGATTGTGATATCGCTGGGCTCCGGGGGTTGGTGCAAACTAACCATCATAAGAATTGTATGTTCTGGCATTCTGGCTGGAGAATACTGCACACGAGAGGAAGGATAACAAGAGCTAATTTTGGTGTTGCTAGCAGCGATTTCATTCCAAAGACCACATTGATAGTTCTGCTTCAAACTCCCCTGAAGGGACGTTGATCATTGTGTATGGGAAGCTGCACAGGCCACTTTCAGTACTCCAGGCATTGAGCAGTGCCATGAAGAGCATGTCATGTTGCTCACAAGGAGCTGTCCTTTGAAGCCAAACAAAATGCATCTACTCACGGAACACCTGATGTTTAGGGAGGAGGCGAAGTTTGAAACATTGCAGGCTGATGGATATTCCTAGACATGATGGACAGGTTGAAGCAGTGCAAACATTTAACAGCAACATGACTATCTGCATGACATCACTGTTCCCCACAGTATTCCGTCTTTAGGTTTCTAATCCAGCATCATAAACACTATGTTACTTTAACTTATGTGACGATGGCTGCCTTGCTGTGTATTTCTTATCCATTTAATAATCCACAAAGTAAACTGACAGGATCCTGCTCAACAGCTGCTACCTCTATTTTATTCTGAGATACTTTAAGGTTTACGGATGGTGGGTTTGTCCATTGGAACTTTTTTTGTTGGAATTAATTATTCTGTGCATGCTGAAATATCTCGTTAAACAATAGTCATAGAGTCATACAGCACGGAAACAGACGCTTCAGTCCAACCAGTCCATGTTGACCATAACCCCAAACTAAACTAATCCCACATACCTGCACTTGTCCCATAAATAAATACCACCACATCTCTATTGGCCTATCCTTTAACCTAATTTGTCAAATCACTCTAGCCAGTTCTGCTCTTATGTAAATTTTTAAAAAAATCAGATTCACTCTTCTTTCCTTTAAACTGAATGGAAAATTAAATCATATCATCGTCTCTTCTACCTAGGAATCACTATGCTTAATCATATCTGATTGCACAGTACCAGGTCTAAGATCTAAAACTTTCCTTAAAGTATCTCAGAATAAAATAGAGGTAGCAGCTGTTCAGCAGGATCCTGTCAGTTTACTTTGTGGATTATTAAATGGATAAGAAATACACAGCAAGGCAGCCATCGTCACATAAGTTAAAGTAGCATAGTGTTTATGATGCTGGACTAGAAACCTCTAAGTTGTGAATTAACTTCAATTTTAAATTGTGGAGTTAAATTCAATAATTCTGATGATTTATGGGCTGGTTCTAAGAGAATGACTATGGGAGCTGTTGGGTTGCCATTAAAACTAACTGGTTCACAAATATCTTTTGGGAAAGGGAATTGAGCTATCCACACTTGATCTAGCCTCCAAGTGACTCCAGTCTCACACTACACAATTATCTCTTAATGCTCTCAAAACAGTTGTTATGAATAGCAATAAACACACACTTGCTAATTTTGCTTACACATTAAATACATTATAAAATAATACAAGTTAGGCTAAAATCAATGAAACAGCAATTTCTGAAGAAAATCTTCAGAGTCCCTCCTTACGTTCTGAATTAAGAATTCTTACCATTCTCCAAGTGAAAACTATTGTATCTCAGTATTCAAACGGAATTAGAAGTTTATTATTTCCTAACTTGTTAATCTGAGAACTGTTTATGAAATAAATTAAGGGAGGGATTTAAACTCTATCTATTGGCAGAGACTGAGGAGCTGAGCATTTAGAATTGCCCGGGTGGTGGAGATACCGGGAGCTGGCTTTTTGTAGTTTTGATTGGCTTAAGTGTGCAGAGGAAAACAATTTACTGCAATTTATTTTATTGCAGCAGCTGAAGTGAGCCAATTTGCTTTTAGTTGCATCTGTAACTTCCAATAGATTTTGGCAAAAGTGATGAAACCCAGGGCCTTGACAAGTTAAAGTGACCTTTCAGTAATGTATATTTGAGTAGAGAACAAGAAATTGCATTTACCAAGTTAACCGTTTTCAATAGAATCCAGTAAAAATGAACAACTCTCTTAACAGAAATGGCACTTCAAAATCTCTGCAATGAGCATTGGAGTTGAAATTGATTAACAGACACTATCGAAGCATTAATTATATGCAGGGGCATATTCATCTGACATGTTAACACAACTGTTTCCGACTGACCTTCACAAATTAGTACAGATTAATGGGAAGCATTTCCTCAACATAGCAGACCAGAAATTTGCCCAAACAGAGCCAGGATTTAGCCCATAACTGCTGCTATTTGAGGCATGTGTTGGCAGAAATCTGCATTATAAGACAAGTGATGGATTATCTCAGCCTAAGTACACATAGATCTGTTCTTAGAATCCCTACACAGTGTGTAAGCAGTCCACCCATCAAGTCCGCACCAGCCCTCCAAAGAGCATCCCACCCCCGCTACTCTATCACTGTAACCCCACATTCAGCATGGCCAATCCACCTAATCTGCACATCTTTGGAGTGTGGGAGGAAACTGGAGCACCTGGAGGGAACCCATGCAGACGAGGGGAGAATGTGCAAACTCCACATCAACAGTTGCCCAAGGGTGGAATCAAACCCGGATCCCTGGCGCTGTAAGGCAGCAGTGCTAACCACTGTGCCACCGTGCTGTTCCCATGTTGACTGGGCTAATGGATGTGGATTCATGGTTACTCTGAATATAGCATTGGAGAATAGCTTTAGGAAAATCTTGCGATTACATAGTGATTTACATAGCCACAAGTTATCACATTGCACTTGAAAGCTAATGATATATTTCTAAAGTACAATCTCTATTGTAATATGGGAAGTATGGCAGCCTCTTTGGTGCCCATAAATGGCACTATGGCAATGACAAGATCATCTGCATTTTATGAATGTTAATTTACTTGCCCTCACCCCCATATTTAGAGGGTTCTAAACTAAAAAGTGGAGACAAGGGATCTCATGAGACAAGATGAAATAAGTTAAAGGAAAAGGATAAAGCAGGAAAGCAAGGCAGCAATATCATAATACAAAGTTCCATATTCTCACTTCTTTCTTTAAGCAAAACACAGTTAAAATGTTTGATTACAAAATAACCTACACAAAATATTATTTTTCCTTCATGTTCTTAAAACATCTCATACTGCCAAGTGTGTCTCTTGGTGATCTCCAATAATTTCTTTGAACAAACAACCTTTTTGTGAAAGGGTCTGAGAACTGGAGACTTGTGTTCACCCAATTTATTTTAGAATTCCATTTCCTTTCTCGCATTACCTTTATCCTAGCAAGGTCAATCCACAGCCTCTTCTCAGTGACACCCTTTCTCAAATGTACATTTTCACAAACAGATCACTTGTTCTGTGGGCAGGTTTTTCTCAGGTTGCTCCTTGTACTAGATTTCCTTGTGAATATAAGACAAGGATACACCCATATCGATTGCTTTCACCAGTGCCAGTTTCTCAGCAGATAAGGCACTTTAAACCACCCTTTTTATTTACTTAGTTTCCTAAACCAATGACCAAATTATTATTTTCCCCACAGAAAATGCAAGAAATCTGCCGTACTATAATATCCAACCAGAAAACTGGTATTTGCAGCTTCATTCCTTCTGTGTCCCAAGGCTTGGACGTTGTGTGTGCATTTCTCTGAATTTAGTTTCATTAATGTTTTATTTGGTCTCAATACTTTTTCAACAGTAGCATATTTCATCATAATACTTAGTACCAATACATCAGTTACATCAGGTCTTGTCTGCTTGCACAACCAGTTTAATAGTCAAACAACACTTCTTGTCTGTTTCTTCGCTGAATGCAAAGTTGTGATCCAATTTATTGGGATGCGATTAACAGTATCAAAAAAAGACTGTTGATCTAAGTTACTACTGCTTTATGCTGGTAAATAGCTAGGGCTACATTTAAAGGCCCTCAAGTCTGACTTTCAATCATACATTTCCATCATGGAACACCTATTTGGTGCATAACCATCTGTACGATAAAGTTGGTTGTCCCCTTAATGTATACACCAAATTCTTTCCAGCTGTCCAACTCGTTTTATTTGGCTATTTTAATCAATTGACCTTCTAATTTGTAGCCACAAACAATCAATCATAGGGACTTCTACTTCTCATATAATTCAAAGCCTGTTCCATAGTCTATGCTCTTGTCCTCCTATCTCAGTCTACACTATTACTACAAGATCTTCCGTTCCTATGACTTGAATTCCTTTGGCATGTTTGCAATCTTTTCCTAGGGCCATGTTCAGAACTCATGCCATATTTACTGGTCTTCTATATCATGTTATTTCACCAATCCATGGCTCCTACCTCCTGTTCCTCATCTTGTACATTTAGTCAGTGTTGGTGTTTGTGAACAGCTTCCCCTAGACTTCCTATAAAGAAAACTGAAAGAACTGCAGATGTGGTAAATTAGAAACAAAAACAGAAATTGCTGGAAAATCTCAGCAACTCTGGCAGCATCTGTGGAGAGAAATCAGAGATAATGTTTCGAGTCGAGTGACCCTTCCTCAAAACTGTTCTGAGTTTTTTCCACAGATGCTGCCAGACCTGCTGAGCCTTTCCAGCAATTTCTGTTTTTCTTCCTATAAAGGAGTCATTCCTTCATTCATTGCAACCAAAGTAGGCATGTGTGTTACTTTGATGCCTACTTTCATTTATGGTTCGTTCAGGTAAACAGTATTATCCTGTGTTTGTGCATCTCTTTATCGATCTTCACTCAGCCTTTCACCCACCACAATCTGATTCTCATAATTCTCCAACATATATATGGCATTGTGCTTGGTGTCTCATCACTTTCTATGACTTGTACATATTATGTAAGGGTGTAATTAATGCAAATTAATCTTGAAAAATGCACCCTAACAGTCTGATTTCCATGCTGCAAAATTACTGTTTTTCAAACACTGCCCACAACCTTGCTTAGATATTTCCACACTTTTTGTCTTTCTCTTTTGTAGTACTTACAGTACTATTTCCTATGTGAAGCAATCAGAAGGGCTTTGGATGATTATTTAGATAGAAATAAGAACATAAGAACTAGGAGCAGGAGTAGGCCGTCTGGCCCTTCGAGCCTGCTCCGCCATTCAATAAGATCATGGCTGATCCTTTCGTGGACTCAGATCCACTTACCCGCGTTCTCACCGTATCCCTTAATTCCTTTATTGTTCAAAAAAAATCTACCTTTTTTTTAAAACGTTTACTGAAGTAGCGTCAACTACTTCACTGGGCAAGGAATTCCATAAATTAACAACCCTCTGGGTGAAGAAATTCCTTCTCAATTCAGTCCTAGATCTGCTCCCCCTAAACTTGAGGCTATGCCCTCTTGGCCTAGCTTCACCTGCCAGTGGAAACATCCTGTCTAGTTCTATCTTATCTATTCCCTTCATAATTTTATATGTTTCTATAAGATCCCCCTTCAATCTTCTGAATTCCAATGAATATAATCCCAATCTACTCAGTGTCTCCTCATAAGCGAACCCCATCAACTCCGGAATCAACCTAGTGAACCTCCTTTGCACCCCCTCCAGTGCCAATACATCCTTTCTCAAGTAAGGAGAACAAAACTGCACACAGTACTCCAGGTATGGCCTCACCAGCACCTTGTACAGCTGCAACATAACCTCTCTGCTTTTAATTTCAATCCCTTCAGCAATGAAGGACAAAATTCCATTTGCCTTCCTAATTACTTGTTGTACCTGCAGACCTACCTTCTGTGATTCATGCACAAGGACACCCACGTCCCTCTGCATAGCAGCATGCTGCAACTTTTTACCATTCAAGTAATAATCCTTTTTACTATTACTCCTACCAAAATGTATGACTTCACATTTATTTACATTGTATTCCATCTGCCAGACCTTTGCCCACTCACTCAATGTATCTATGTTCCTCTGCAAAGTTTCACAGTCCTCTGCACACTTCGCTTTGCCACTCATCTTAGTGTCATCTGCAAACTTTGACACCCGACATGTGGTCCCCAACTCCAAATCATCTATATAAATTGTAAATAATTGCGGTCCCAACACCGATCCCTGAGGCACACCACTAGTCACTGACTGCCAGCTAGAATAGAACTCATTTATCCCCACTCTTTGCTTCCTGTTAGTCAACCAATCCTCTATCCATGCTAATACTTTACCCTTAATGCCATGCATCCTTATCTTATGCAGTAGCCTCTTGTGCGGCACCTTGTCAAAGGCCTTTTGGAAATCTAGGTACACCACATCTATTGGGTCCCCATTGTCCACCTCGCTCATAATGTCTTCATAGAATTCCAAAAGATTTGTCAAGCATGACCTGCCTTCATGAACCCATGCTGCATCTGCCCAATAGGACAATTTCTATCAAGATGCCTTGCTATTTCTTCCTTGATAATAGACTCAAGCATCTTCCCCACTACAGAGGTTAAGCTAACTAGTCTATAGTTCCCCATCTTTTGTCTACTTCCCTTTTTAAACAGTGGCATCACATTTCTGTTTTCCAATCTGCTGGGACTGCCCCAGAGTCCAGCGAATTTTGGAAAATTACCGCCAGTGCACCTGCTATTTCTCCCGCCATCTCTTTTAGTATCCTGGGATGCATTCCATCAGGGCCAGGAGACTTATCAATCCTTAGCTCCATTAGCTTGCCCAACACTACCTCTTCTGTAATAATGATTGTTTCCAGGTCCTCACCTACCTTTGTCTCTTTGTCAATTACTGGCATGTTATTAGTGTCCTCCACTGTGAAGACCGATACAAAATACCTGTTCAATGCCTCGGCCATTTCATCATATCCCATAACTAAATTCCCCTTCTCATGCTCTAAAGGGCCAACGTTTACTTTAGCCACTCTTTTTTGTTTTATATATTTATAGAAACTTTTGCTATCTGTCTTTATATTCTGTGCTAGTTTTTTCTCATGTTCTATCTTACTTTTCTTTATACCTCTTTTTGTGGCTTTCTGTTGACCTTTAAAGTTTTCCCAATCTTCTAGTTTCATGCTGTTTTTGGCCACTTTGTATGCCTTCTCTTTCAATTTGATAGCCTCCCTTATTTCTTTAGACACCCATGGCAGATTACCCCTTTTCTTACAGTCCTTCCTTTTCTTTGGAATATACTTTTGCTGAGCACTTTGAAAGATTGCTTTGAAAGTCCTCCACTGGTCCCACCATAAAATCTTTGTTTCCAGTCTACTTTAGCCAAGTCCTCCCTCATTCTATTGTAGTTCCCCTTGTTCAAGCACAGGACCCTCCATCTGTATTCGAAATTCAACCATACTGTGATCACTCCTTCCAAGAGGATCCCTAACTATGAGGTCATTAATTATTCCTGTCTCATTACACAGGACCAGATCTAGGATAGCTTGCTCCCACGTTTGTTCCATTACATACTGTTCAAGAAAACTATCACGGATACACTCAACGACCTCCTCCTCAAGGCTACCCTGACCGAGCTGGTTCGACCAATCTACATGTAGATTAAAATCCCCCATGATAATTGCCATACCATTTTTACAGGCATTAGTTATTTCTTTGTTTATTGCCCGCCCCAATGTGGTGTTATTATTTGGTGGCCTATAGACTACGCCTATCAGTGACTTTTTCCTCTTAGAATTTCTAATTTCCACCCAAATGGATTCAACCTCATTCTCCATAGAACCTATATCATCTCTCAGCACCGCCCTGATGGCGTCCTTGAATACCAGAGCTACACCACCTCCCTTACCTTCCTGTCTGTCCTTCCGACTAGTCTGGTACCCTTGGATATTTAACTCCCAGTCGTGACCATCCTGTAACCATGTCTCCGTAATGGCTACCAAATCATATTCATTCGCGATGATTTGTGCCGTTAACTCATCAACCTTGTTACGAATGCTACGAGCATTCAGGTAAAGTGCCTTTATGCTAGCTTTCTTACCCTCATGATTTCCAACATCTCTAATAATATCTCCTGAGTTATCCTTCCTTTTTGCTTCTTTCATAGTCTGCCTTGAACTTAAACCCTCCTGCACACATGCTAACCTGCTGCTTACCTTTTTATTTACCATCATACTCCCTGTCGTTTTCCCTTTCCCTTCCCCCCAACTCACTAGTTTAAAGTCCTAGTGACCACTCTATTTATCCTTTTCACAAGAACACTGGTTCCAGATCGGTTCAGGTGGAGAACGTCCCATTGGTACAGATCCCTCCGGTTCCAAAACTGATGCCAATGCCCCATGAAATGGAACCCCTCTTTCCCACACCACTCCCTTAGCCACGTGTTTACTTCCCTAATTTTCTTATCCCTAAGCCAATTTGCACGTGGCTCGGGCAGTAATCCGGAGATTATGACCCTCGAGGACCTGTTCCTTAATTTCGTTCCTAGTGCTTGATAATCCCCAAACAGGTC